TAATATAATCATAATCATATATACTCAAAAGTGTTTAAACAACCTTCAATTCAATAACCTGTCCCATGTAAGCAGAGGATAAATCAGGATGATAAGAGGTAAAAAAAAACAAAAAAAAACGTGGATTTCTTAATGCTGACACAACTGTTTCTTGGGATCCTTTTTTAGATGATGAGAAAAGACAATAAGATCTAGTCTCGTTTTCCATCTGCTGTTACTGTAAACACACATCTCTCGGGTCTGAGTCTCAACATAAAGCAGCCCCTCGTTCAATGGGATACCACTTGGGACTCTGGGACAACTGTTGTCATAGAGTTTCATTTGTTGTTAGAAACCAAAGTGCTTAACTCCCTGCCAGTTGGCCCATGAAAACCAATTTATGGTCCGTTTCACTGAAATCTGAAGGTTTAAGAAACCAGAAGAGCCGCATTCACAGTCTTAAGAAAGAGTGATGCTTTGGATGAAGTGCACCATGCATGGAATCAGTCAGCCCCACCCTGATATCCTCACGACATTTTTAAATTTTCACTGGCTCGATAAGACAAGGATGCATGCACATGTAGGGAAGAAAAAGCCTGTTTCTTTACAGACCGAGGAGTGATGATAGATTTTAGGAAAAACGTGGCTTATATCCCACCACAGAGGCAGCTGCAGTGCAGGCCCTTAATGCTACTATTTAAGCTGGACCACGTGACCACCAGATAAAGGCGGTCTATGTGGATACTGGTGTGTATCCAGGCAACTCCTTTATTCATTTCCTAGCAACCGTTAAATCTTGGGAGGGGGGCTGGGGTTGGGCGTCGTTGGCCTACATGTCCCTCATATATGACTGGGCAGTTTGACCTCCTTTATCTGAAGAAGACTGGAAAACAAAGCCAAATGGCTGTTAATCTGCTCAATAAAACACCACATCTATCATGTAGAAGGCAGTAAATTTTGAACAGTATGTAAAAATCTGTATGCATGAAAACCTACAAAGGTCATATCAAAAATACATGTAACAGTGATGGTTTGATAATAACTAAAGTTTTGTTGTTGCCAGCCAACGTGGATGGGTGTTTAAACTCCTCTTTGGGTTAACTGCAAATGCACATTTTATAATATATCCTTAAGGAAAAGTAAGACACTGGAAGATCCATATATATATCCGGTGAAAGGCTTGAAATTCAGTCTGATGGTAACAAATTGGAGGGGCGATTTGAAGAAAGATTAGCTGATTGATTTTGTATTGGAAAATGTGAAATAAAATAAGATGTATTATGGATAAAACCTGATAAAATCAATTATAAATAAAAGTGAATACAGTTTTCACTTTTTAAGTGTTTCTTGAATTTTATTATAAGCCTTCCTATTAGTTATTCTGTTTTTGTTTATTAGTTTTAGCATGAGGAGCGACATATGGAGAGTTTGTGTAGAGCAGCCGGGTCTGTCTGGCACAAACATGCTGAAAATTACGCAGCATTTTTCCCATAATCAGAGGCGCCATGCTTGCAGCACAATACGGCAGGATAGTAGGGTGGGGTCTGCTGGGCGGTCCTTGTAGTGAGGAGAACCGCTTATCCAATCGAAAGCCGCGGAATGATTCGAAACGTCAGACTGACGGGAGATTGGCCAATAGGGCGCAGCAGCCACCGGCGCCGGGTCTTCCCTTGCATATATACCCCTGTCCATCCTCATGTGCGCCATTATCTCTTACATCGACCCCATAACAGTCGAATTGTAAGACTGCTTATCGAGGAGCTTCTGCCAACCTCCACCGCGACTATAACATAACAAAATGGTAAGAACTTTTAAAAAAGCTTTGTTGACAGGCCATACTTGAGGCACACTTAAAAAAAGAAGAAGGTGGGTGTGATTTGTAAGTTGAGCTCTTATAACGGAGGGTTGCTTTACCTTTAAATGAAAAGTGGGATTTAAAACTGTGTGGCTGATTTTGCTATATAGATATTCAATTTCTTGCAGTGTAGTGTGGGGGGTTTTAGTCCCAGCTTGAGATGGGGAGATGCTCTGACGCCTTTCAATTGGGGGACGTGGCGGGCAGACCGAACAAAAGAGGTTTTCTGGGGTGGACAGAGGGAATAATGGAGGCTTCAGTCCAGCCGGTGACTCTGCGGTATTTTATTCTCTCACTGGCATGGCAAAAGCCCCGGTCATCACTAGTCGTGACCGCGACGGGCTGTAAGGGCACGGCACTGGCAGGGAGAATGGCATTAAGCTGTATCAGCTTAAAAAGAATGCCCCACACCCACAGTAACCCAATCCTTAGGGAAAACTGGATGAAAATGCCCTGTCAGCGCGGCAAGCCATTAAAAATGCATGCGAGTAACGGACTCTCCCGGGCTGATAGTTACCGCACTGATGCACAGCCAGCCACCTAGCAGATGTACAGCCGGCAACCTAGTAGTATTTTCTGTTATAACTGTTTAGTTTCAGTGATGAGTCGAAATCAGTGGCATTAACATATAGACAGACCTAACACTGAATTAAAATGATCAATTCTCTGATGGCAAAGATGGCGTAACTTGGGGGGGCGCAAAAACCGCATTTTGGGGCTAAACCGGCAAACTTTTGAGCCATTTTCCCACATTTGACTGGTGGTTCAACGCATGCAGTTATTATGCTGTAAAATCAATACCCGTGGGCAGGCCCGGCCCTAACCAATCTGGCGCCCTAGGCAAGATTTTAGGTGGCGCCCCCCTACATCGGCAGTGTAGTGTATGTACTCACAAGAAACCGAATAGCTTTGTCTTTGACCTTTTTTTTTTT